CTTTAGTTCTAATATGCCTGCATATATTGAAAGATTCCAAGGTTGAACGACTTGTGTACCTAATAGACCCTAAAAATAAGTGAGTACCATAAATGTGGAGATCTTTATAACAAATATCTGAATATCTTGTCAATACTCGAATATTCATATACCAACTTACCTCGAGATACATGAAAACTACCCAAAAAATATTTGTTAATAAATAATGATAAAATATCCCTTTCATCTCGGAAAATTATGCTAACCCACTCCTATATAACCATATTTAGTATTTCATTTGCTTCATTCAATTACATTATATCCTTCATTCTCATTTCATCTAGGAAAATTATGCTAACCCACTCTTATATAACCATATTTAGTATTTCATTTGCTTCATTCAATTACATTATATCCTTCGTTCTCATTCACATACTTACTTAAGTATGTGAGAGTCTTTTACATGTATCTCACTTAATCTATACCTGTTTAACCCAATAGAATGAAACTGAACGTCCTCTTCAAATCCAAACTAAAATAAATATAAATAATATTTAATTTACTTCTTAAAAAGAATTATATACACAATTAATTTTTTTTTCATTCTTCGAATGACTCATTAAATTTTGTAAAATATATTAAATGTGAATTATATATTGAATCACTAACTATTTTTATTATAATTTTTTAATTATTTATTTTTATATGAAAAGTAATCTGGAAAGGAAACATGCTTTTTTTAAGGATAATTTCATATATATATATATATATATATATATATATATATTTTTTTTTTGTTTAACCCTCTACAAAGACCAATTTTCCATTGTTGTTATCCTATACTCCGATCATGAGTAGAATTTCTTTTATATTTTTCATCCAGAATTTCCTTTCAACTCATCAATAAAAGATTTAAAAGTGTAAAAATACTTTATTGAATTGAACAAATAATGAACCAATCCACCTCGTTGGTTTTATAATAGCCTTATCTACTTCTGAACGATAAATTCTTTAATACATGTTTTCATAACAATTAACAATATGTTTTTTTTGTCTTCGGCTTTATTATTTGGATAAGAAATATTATAGTTCTCACCTACCTTTTATGTGGGTTATCTATAAATGTTGAGATCAAGATTGATGGGTTACTCTTTAACGAAGGATGAATATTTTTGCTAATAAAAACAAAGATTGGCGTGTTTATGTGTGATAATAAGGAAAGTTAAAGAGTGTTTGTTTGACAACATTCAAGTCTCTTACTCTTATCAATGAAAGTTATTATACATCTCCAACTACATTAATTGTTTATGAACACATCTCACGATAATTCACGTTAAAGACTCCTTCAACTTGTAATATAAAGCTTTTGTTATCATGGTATATGTTTAAAACATGTTTGACATATTTCATTGTCTCAAAGTCATGCTCTCATGCATTAACATGGTCAATGCCATCAACACATATAAGTAGATTTATAGTGATGCTCTTCATTCAAGACCTAATAGTAATTGGGTCAGGGATAGGGGAAAATCTATTGTGAAAGATGTAGAGAAATTTGCAGGAAAACAAGAGAAAACAAATTAACTAATACTCGTAAAAGCAACAAGATAAAGGGGAAAGGTGTAGGGACTCAAATTGTTTTCAATGATTATGAATTTTTCGTAATTAATGCATTATTAGACCAAGAAAAAAAAACAAAATGATGACAACCCGATAAATAAAAGGCAAAATAGCAAGAACATAAACTTGTTCATCTCTAGTAATAACATGCCTTCACATATCAAAAGACTCCTAGGTTGGGGGGCTAGTGTACCTAAACAACCCTAAAAATAGCCGAGTACCATAAATACTGAGATACTCAAAACAAATATCTTGACATTATTAGAATATCTCCCGAGATACTTAGATACCAACCCCAAGATATATGGAAACTATGCCAAAACTATCTACTAACAAATAACGATAAAATATTCCATATATCTCGCACAATTATGCTAACCAACTCTTTTATAAACATATTTAGTATCTCATTTACTTCATTCGATTACATTCTACCCTTCACTCTCATTCACATATTTACTTAAGTTTTAGAGAGTCTTTTGCAGGTATCTTATTCAATCCATACATACTTGACCCAATAGAACGGAACTCGAACGTTCTCTTCAAATCCAAACGACAACTAATATAATAAAATGAATATAAATAATATTTAATTTGCTTCTTAAAAAGAATTATATACACAAGTATTTTTTTCTCATTATTAGAAAATTTTGTAAAGTATATTAAATGTAAATTATATACATTGAATCACTAACTTTTGTTTATTATAATTTTTTAATTAATTTATTTTTATATGAAATTAAGTAAATATCATCTCGAAAGCAAACATGTTTTTTAGAAAAATTTCAAAAAAAAAAAACAAATATATATATATATATATATATATATATATATATATATAATTTTCTTTTTCACCTTAAGACCACACAGACCAACTTTCCATTGTTGTCATCCTATATTATGACCATGAGGGGAAGTTCTTTATATTTTTCATCTAGAATTTCCTTTCAATTTGAATTAAGAAGTTACAACCTTTAAACTCATCAATAAAAGGTTTAAAAGTGTAAAAATACTTTATTGAATTGAATAAATAATGAACCAATTCACCTTGTTAGCTTTATAATAGCCTTATCTACTTCTCAACAACAAATTCTTTAAAGTATCTTTTCATAACACTTAACAATATGGTTTTCAATTCTCTTCGACTTTATCATGTATATTTTGGATAAAAAATATTGTAGTTCTCACATACTTTTTATGAGGGCTATCAATGTTGATATCAAACTTGATGGGTCACTTTCCTACTTTTGCTAATAAAAACAAAGGTTGGCATGCTTATGTGTGATAATAAGGGAAGTTCAAGAGTGTTTGTTTGACAACATTTAAGTCTCTTCCTCTTATCAATGACAGTTGTTATACATCTGCAACTATATTGTTTAATATTGTTTATGAACATATCTTATATTGTTCATGAACACATCTTACGCAATTCACATTAAAGACTCCTTCAGCTTGTAATATAAAGCTTTTGCTAACATGATACATGTTTGACATATTTCTTTGTCTCAAAATCATGCTCCCCTGCGTCAACAGGATCATGATTTTTATTTTCTCAAGATTCATGTAATTTTTTGCAAATCAACATTGTACGTGTTCATAGAAAAATTGTATGCAACCGAAGATGTGTTTGTTGTCTGATGTTGTTGGTGATCATTCATATTATTATCATCTTGTTCGTCATCTTATTGAAATCTTGTATCATCTTCGTCAGACCAAACTTTTTTTTACGTCTCCAATCTCAAGACCAAAGGATGCATGTGATACAACCTTAGTGAGATCTAAGTTTTATGGGGATCCATAATAGTTCTGAAAAGGGTAGAAAGCAAGTAGGTGAAAGAACTTGTATGTGCATGAAATTGGTTTACCAATGAGTGCGACAAATGACAAATATAATGAATGTTAGAAATAATCTACAAAAGGTTGTCAGTAATTTGCTTGGTTATTTAAGAAAGGAACAATATTGGGAGTTAAAACACTACTATTACTAAATATGTCAATAGGATAAAGAACTTTATGATTATCAATGACTTGAATCATGTACATGGTCATCATTAATAAGTTTCATAGCTCAATAATACAACATTCATCCCCCTACCACTTGTAAAAATTATAAGTAAATAATGCGATCAACAAAATAATATTGGTTTAAATTAATTCTTTTTTGGAATTTTTTTCAACACAAATGTGGTATATGAATTAATTAAAAAAAAACATCGGGATTGAGGATACAAATAAGGATCTCAAATTTGCCATTCCATCATGGCTTGTCTTGCTTAACGCGCTATCCCAATGATCTAAAGGCAAAGGTTGGATATGCTAGCTTGTCAACCTTTTCTTTATATTATATTAAAGATAATTTAAATTAAAATATATTATAATTTACATTATTATATTCTGTTATGTTGTAGTGTTTGAAGATGCAAGTATACAGTAATAATTTAACTATAAATACTTACCGGTTTAAGTTATTGATTAATTAAGCAATCCCATAAGTAAATATATCAATTCTCTAAATTATCTACTAAAATACGAATAAAAGACTTAAAAATATTTATATAATTAAATTGTCTTTTTTAAGATGTATATAGAAATTATTTAAATAAAAAAAATTGTCAACTGGTGTTCTGTTAAGAGAAGCCAAGATTTATAGCCTACCTAACCTATTTTTATGGATGAGATAAAAGATGGACTTAAACGAAACAGAATGATCCATGTTAATCCTACATACAAAATTGTCCTCTTCACTTATTTTACTAATCTAACTGTTATATAAAACCAAGACAGAAAGAAAAGAGAGACACATTTGTGTAACAAAGAACAAAAAAAATTTAGGAAGCAAAAGTTTGCGTAGGTGGTTATGTAAAATTAATAAATCACAAGTTTTGTTGATTTTGAAGAATAAATCTGAATTGATCATTATGAAAGAGAGTAAAACAATTTATTCCTATCGTGCTTGACGCACTTACATAAAATAATTCCTTCCTAACATGCTGACCTTGAGGGATGATACCAATTCAAAGTATGTGTAGCGAAAAAGGTAGGATGAAAGTGCACAATGAAGAAAGTGCACTAAATGGAAATATTCTAAAACATCATATGCAAGATAACATAATTTTGTCAACGTACCTGTACATATACAAGGTGTCTGCACCAGATTACATAATCTTCTGTTTTTGTGAACAGTCTTACCTTGAGGGCTTTGATCTGCTTTGAGAATGTGGTCCCTTTCTCTAATTGTTATCCAGATCTTCATTGCTACTGCTATCTGGGGAGGAGAAACTTGTTTTTGACTTGGGGACTTTACTTTGATAGACAACATGAGAGTTGAAGCTTCATGAATTTCATTTACTATCATGTTAAAGAGCGTGGTATCTTATTCAGGATACTGTAGATACTATGTTTCACTTGGAACCACACAAACGAAGACAGCCGCCAGGTAACTGGCGAATACGGCCACATGAGAATCGGGATGAACAAGCAATTATCCACTGATTAGCTAGAGATGAGGAGGATGAAGAGCCAGACTGCTCAGTATCCTGTAGTAACATATCAGTGTTGCATTAAATTTGTGAATCATAAGGAGCACTTCACAGCATCTCATTTGTTTCAACAAGTGCATGACTGCTGTGCAAATCTTCAGAAGATTGAGTTTTGGTTGAACAAGATGCAAAGATATTATTGACATCAGATTCAATAGTTTCCAGAAATAACTACGGATTTTGAAGCCTCCTTACCTTGGCTTCACAAATGGGAAAATATCAATCATAGAACAAAAGCAAGGTGTTAAAATATTCAGCACCATAACATTTTTTAGTATCAAACTAGTGGAAAGATAGGGATGTCAGTCACAGTTTTGTAATGTAATAAAAAATGGTTATCATAACATCAAAACGGTTACCAAAACAATAGAGGTAAAATTGTACAACAAAATCTGTCGACCAAAAGCAGTTATTGGAATAGGTATTCTCTTTATAAATTAGTGCAGATGTTGGAGAATTTAAAGCTAAAGCAATCTTACTCAGAGCATTGCGATGACGGCGTTATTGGTGATGGGTGATGATCACAAGCTGTCTTTGCTTGCCGCCATAGATTATTTCTCTATTTGTTGAATTTAGAAATGAGAGTATCCTAAAAATTATATATATATATATATATATATTAATTATGATAATATTTTTTTAGGGTTAATTATCGTATTTATATATTTATGAATCAATTTAAGGTATTTTTGAGAAAATTAAATAATTAAAAAATTTCAATTCATTTTAAAAAAATAATATCATTTTCATTTCAAAACCTTTAAATATTATGTTACCATTTTTTTTTATAATTATAAATTATTAAACATTATCGTTTCGTTTCTACTTTGAAACTTTATCTCATTCTTAAATTTTCAACAATTTAGCAAGTAATACTCAGTATCTTGTTCAAAGTCTAAGAGAAGAGAGCTTTCTATTTCATAATCAAGTCTTCCCATAATTAAATTCTTCATATTCCCAACAACATTAAGCTAATTCTACGCTTCCTCATTGATAATTTCCGTTACTAAAAGTTAAGAACTTACATTAATGAGAACAATATACATGATAAATTCACGAGGGGCCAGAATAGTCGTAGGAATGCGAAAATGTGCTATCAGAGCCCTCGTCAGAACTTTCCGATAACAAGAACCACGAACATTTTGAATCACTTTTCTTTTCTTTACCTCGAGATTGCTTAGACAAGTTGTCGTTTTCATGATTTTCCATGTTAAATCTTGCTCTTTCATCTAACGTTTTATCTTCCCTGTGACCAGTGTCGTAGATTAAATATAAAATCCAAAAAATGGTTCTGGAGCCGACACGCTATTTAACTCAAGCTGTTAATTCAATGTCAAATATAATAAGTCTACTCATTAGTTTAGTATCAAGAAATTGATCAAAACAATTAAAAATAATAATTATAATTTTTAGATAATATAAGTGAATTTTAAAGGATAAATTATACAATTTGTTTTTACTTAAATTTAGAAGATTGATCGAATTCAATAAAAAAATCATTTTAAAATATTTTTTGATATTTAAGTCGATAATAAGTAATGTAAAAAAATTATTTGATTTAATGAAAGAAATATTAAATATTTTTTATATTTAAATCGATAATAAATAATGTAAAAAAATTATTTGATTTAATGAAGGAAATATTAAATATTTTTATTAATAAAAGAATATTTAAGTATAGTCAAATCATGAAGTCATCACTATTATTACTATTAATATTATTATTATTATTATTATTGAAATAATATGTGTTATTATAATATTTAACTTGGAAGAATTTAGTTGGATAAATTTGTTTAAACATCTATATATATTTACGAATTTGTTAATGCGCATGTCCAGTTATTATATATGTATTTCACTACTTTATTTTAAAAAAATAGTTACTTTATTATTATTATTTTAATTTATTTCTGAGAACTTTTAAAATATAAACTATTTCTGCAAATGTAATACATATGAAACATATATTTTAATAATAATATTTAGTGAGTAAATTAACATTTCTAAATCAGTATTGTAATAATATTTGTTTTCACAGTAATTAGAGTTACCGTGGTTGGATGATTTCGCTAGAAGTCAGGTAGGCGACGGAGCAGTTGAAGTAAATCAAATCTCGCGCTTTGATCATGAGATCAGGATTGGGTAGAATCACTTCAGTGGAGGCCAGCTCAACGACGCCGTTGGGACACGGTATGCAAACCACGGTCTGGAACCCAGACTCCTGCAACTGCCGGGCCCGTTGGCAGGCCATTTCAGTTAACCGGTCTGACCCGGTGATCCAGACCGGGCTCGACTTAAAGAAAGTCTGGCCCACCAGGCCGCTGCCGTTGACAAAGGTCTGATCCATGGACATCAGAAAGAACCACTCTGGGTCAGTGACGTCTTCGTCGCAGTCATCTACTGAGGCCGAGGAGCCGTAAATTAAGGAATAGAGTAAACGCAAAAAGTTCTTGCGCTGGGTCTGTTCTGCGGACGACGTCGTTTTGCGGGCTGTTCTGTTGATATCCTGGAAGTTGTAATAGCCGTCACCCCAACAGAGAAGGGAAGCGGCAGAGGAATGGTCGTAAGAAGACTCCCAGTAAATTGCATAGATCCACCTCTCTCTAGCACCTTCAAGTAGCGTCTGAAACCGCCGTTGGAGCGGAGTCTGACTGGGGAGCACCCGGGATTGTGGCAGCGCCGGAGTGGCGCTTGACGCGGTGGATTGCGGCGTCGGCAGAGAAAAGGCCTCCATTATTGAAAGTGTAGTTTCCGTAACGTATAACTTAGATGCAATGCAACACAATTTATTATATTATTTCTCAACACAATTTTCATACCTTTTTCATATTCAATTGATTAGTGAGTAAATTTCTCTTGAATGTTTTCATTTTTATGAATAAAAAAGAAATCTGTACATGGCATTATCTTTCCCGCACCTTCTATTGTCTTTGAAAAATCTAATTATTTTATACAAAAGGGAAGGGCTTTCGTCCATTTTTCAACCTCATAAAATGTTTCTAAGCCGACTTGTTATTTACACAAGTTCACAATTTTGATTTGGCATTGACTAGTTTGGCTTGTTCATATGGGTGCTAAAATATTTTTAGAATCTACTTATATTCAAATTTAATACAATTTTATATTGGTACAAAATTATGTTTTCAACGTTTTATAATTAAACCTTCGTATTATTTCATTCTTAAAACGTGAATGACAAGTTTGTTAAATAATATTATTTAACATAGGTAATCCTAGTTTATATTTGAAAAAAATTAATTAAATATCTTTCAAAAACGATTATTGATTTGATAAATAATGTTATGATTTTAAAACATATGAATAAAATAACTATATGTCTTAGTTTAATTAAATATGTCTTTCGATGAATAATCATATTTTATAAATAAACTTACAATAAATATTATATTCAATAGAATATAATTAATAAGATACATTAATAATTCTATAACACTGATATAATGTTTTAAGATAGTCATTTATCAATTCAGACTTATAAGTATAAAAAAATCTTATAATTATTTAAATGTTTAATAAATATGATTTATTCATATAAAATATTTTAAGTATATTTTTTTTCATGTATATAAAAAGATCTTTATTTAAATATTTAATTTGTAATTTTGTTTTATCTTTTTAAAATTCTTCATCTCAGACTTTTTTTTCTTTTCGAAGTTAATTGTATTTCTCAGTTTGTTAAAGAATTTTAACATTGTTTATATTATCTAAGTAAATGACAATTATACAGCATGATTTTCTAATCTTTCATAAAACGAGATCTTTTATAAACCTTGTTACAAATTCTTACACTAATATCCACTACAAAAAAACGCTTATTATCTACTGGTAAAATCCGTAGGTAATGACAAAAATCCGTAGGTAATGCACTCACCTTAACAAAATATTTTTATTTATTACAATAACTTTGAATTATTGTTAGATTAAGGGAATTGTCATTGACAGGATTTCGAACCCAATACCTCAAAGTTAGAGGCCGATACTCCAACCACTAAGCTATTAAGATATTTTGAAAATAATTTACAAATAAATTATATTTATATTTATCCGTGTAAATATATAAATATAAAATATATATAAATATAAAATATATATATAAATATAAAATATATATAAATGTATAAATATATAAATATATCAAATAAATATAAAATATATTATATTTTGATATATTTATATATTTATATATTTATACATTTATATATTTGTATTTATATATTTATATTTATATATTTATATTTATATATTTATGTATTTATATATTTATGTATTTATATATTTATATATTTATATATTTATCTATTTATGTATTTATGTATTTATATATTTATGTATTTATATATTTATATATTTATGTATTTATGTATTTATATATTTATGTATTTATGTATTTATGTATTTATATATTTATATATTTATGTATTTATATATTTATATATTTATGTATTTGTATATTTGTATATTTATATATTTGTATATTTATATATTTGTATATTTATATATTTGTATATTTATATATTTGTATATTTATATATTTGTATATTTATATATTTATATATTTATATATTTATATATTTTATATTTATATATTTATATATTTATATATTTACACGAATTAATATAAGTATAATTTAGTTGTAAATTATTATTAGAATATCCTAATAGTTTAGTGGTTGAAGTATCAGTTTTCAATTTTAAGGTACTGGGTTCGATTCTTACTAGTGATAATTCTTTTAGTTTAATATAATTTACCTACGGATAGAATTCCGTAGGTAATGTACAATTTACCTACGGATTTTCATCCGTGGGTAATATCCGTAGGTAATGTAAAATTTACCTACGGATTTTTATCCGTGGGTAATATCCGTAGGTAATGTAAAATTTACCTACGGATTTGTATCCGTAGGTAATATTCGTAGGTAATAGGCATTTTTTTTGTAGTGATCATGTATGTCTTCATAAGATACTTATTTTTTATTTATTAAATAATAATCTCTTATATTATTGGACAAATTAAATTATTTAAAAATTATATATATATATATATATATATATATATTATAAATTTAACCTTTTATTATTTTATATTTTTTTCATTTTTTATATTGATATGCAACCTCAACATCAAAATTTAGAACTCTATGAGTAACAACATACTAAAATCATCAATTGGTATTTAATTTGCAAAACTATATGCTATGTTATTTGCATAACTAAAGGAGTAAGTATCAAACAAAAAATAAACACACACAACTAAAATAAAAAGATGAAAAAAATACTGACAATAAATAAAAGAATAATTTCACTAATGAAAGAAATTACAACTCTTTTCTCTCTACCTCCAAGAAAAAAACAATAATACCCTTTCTTGATAATAAAAGAAAAACAAATATAAGAGAACTTAAAAAAGGAAAAACTATTTTTTTTCTCTTAATTTATCTTTTAAGTACTAAAACAGTAAGAAAAAGAAAAGAAAGTGATTTTGGTGTATTTTACAAGATAAACATTGTGTTCCTTTTATAGTAAGAAAAGTAAGCATCAAAGTAAGATCTCTCTGATGTGAGACTTCTCTTCTCACAATCTCCCACTTGAAAATTTTGATTAAAATTAATCAAATCTTCACACCATGATTACTTTATTCTTACCATCCATGTTGCTTATTTTTTCGCTAGGTCATAGTAGAATTGACTTCATACAAACTTGTCAACATTAACTAGTTTTGTTACAACATCTGTTAGGTTCTCATCCGTGTGAATCTTTTGCATATCCACACTACTTTCTTCCACTACTTCCCGAACAAAATGATATCTTATTCATATGTACTTTATCCTGGAATGAAAGGCTGAATTCCTTGCAATGTGCAAGACACTCTAACTGTCACAATACATAACAATTTATTGTTGCTTGTGCCCGAGTTTCTCTATTATCTTCCTAATCCAAATAGCTTCCTTACATGCCTGGATGACTGCCATGTATTCAACTTCTGTGGTAGACAGAGCTACAACATCCTATAACTTGGATAACTAACTCATTGCCCCTCCTGCAGCTGTAAACACATAACCAGTGGTATATCTCCTTTTATTCAGATCACATGCAAAATCTAAATCAACATAGTCTTCGACAACTAATTCTAATCCTCCATAACATAATGCAACACCTGAGGTTCCTTTGATGTATCTAAGGATCCTCTTTATAGCATTTCAATGCTCTCCACCAAGACTTCCCATGAATCTACTAACTACTCTCACTGCTTGTGCAATGTCTAGTCTTGTACAAATCATTGCATACATAAGACTTCTCACTACTGATGCATATGGTACTCGAGACATTTCCATCCTCTCCGCTTCATTGTTGGGACTCATACTTGAGGATAACTTATAATTAATAGGAAATGGGGTGGAAATTAGCTTGCAATCTTGCATGTTGAAGCGCCACAAGATTTTCAGTAAACAATTCTTCTGAGAAAGTCAATCTTTCCTATCTTTTCTGTCTCTGTGAATTTGTATCCCTAAAATTTTGTTTGTTGGTCCCAAGTCCTTCATGTCAAACTCCCTAGTCAATTGTGCCTTTAACTCTTGGATTCGATATGGTTGGGGCCTACTACCAACATGTCATCCAAATACAACAACAAGATAACAAAATCATTATCACCAAACCTATTGTAATATGTATAATGGTCTAAGCTCAATCTATTATAACCAAGACAAATAATGAAGGAATCAAATGTCTTATACTAACATCTGGGCGCCTGCTTTAGACTGTATAGAGATTTGGTCAACCTGTAAACCAAATTTTCTTATTCTTTAAAGCCTTCTGGTTGGAGCATATAAATTTCCTCTTCAAGATCTCCATGAAGAAAATCAGTCTTTACATCCAATTATTCAAGATGTAAATCAAATGCAACACACATAACCAGGACAACTCTGATGAATGTCAATCTTACAACAGGCGAGAATATCTCATTGAAATCAATACCTTTTTTTTAGCATATCCCTTTACCACCAATCTAGCACGATATCTTTCTACTTGATTATTGTCATCTCTCTTGATCTTATAGACCCATTTGCAACCAATGGATTTTCAACCTTTCGAAAGTTCCACAAGATTCCATGTCTTATTTTTATGAAGAGCCTCAATTTATTCTTGCATTGCAGTCATCCACAGAGAAACATCTGAACAACTCATAGCCTCTTGAAAAGTTGAAGGTTCTCCTTCTTCATTTAGAAGACAATACGCATCATGACTTGCCAACACATATTGTGAATGCCAAGATGGTCTGGTTTTTATCGAGTTGATCACCGGAGATCTCCATTACCAACCTCATTTGGCTCTTGATCTTCGTGCTCCTCTTCTGACTCAGATGAGTCATTCAAAGACCTTTTCTCTATCTGTACTATAATCTTGTCCTTTATCAAGCTGTCATTTGTCTGCTCACTTTGTAGTTCATTTTCTGCAAAGACTACATCTCTGCTAACAACAACCTTGTGAGAAGTGGGATCTCATAGGCTATACCCTTTCACATTGTCAGCATAACCTAAGAAGATACATTTCCTGGATTTTGGATCCAATTTTGTTCTTTCTTAAGTGTTGTACATCACGTACACAGGATAACCAAAAACACGTAAGATGAATAATCAGCTGCTTTACTTTTCCATAACTCCATTGGTGTGTTCAAACTAATGGCGGTTGATGGTGACTGATTTATAACATAATAGG